AATCATAGCCATCGATATCCTCATCTACGGCTCCATATCGGCGGCCCTCTCAACCGCCTAACCTCCAAGGTTAACCGCCTAACCGCTGTGCACGCACACCGGCGCTCACTAGTTCAAACCCTAACTCGGTCCGAACCCTAATCACGGAGTAATCCGGCTGACCATAATCACCGGATTCTAACAAGGATTATCGCGGCACCGTTACAGACGGCGCGAGAGTCCTACGGGGAGCCAAATCGAGGCCGCGAGTCTCAGTTTTCGATTCGATACCGCTAGTTTGAAAATTACTCAACGGTACTATCCGGGGCGCCGCGCATACGGTAGCAAGGTACAAGTGGGTAGCCTACTCAGGAGTAAGGAAGTATCTGCTTTCTGTACCTAGTACCCGTAAGAACGGTAGATAGATACCGACCGGTACCTCGCTTACCCACCTATTTTACCTGTAGCAATCAGGACCGGTGTGGGTTATACCACGAGAAATAGGCACCTACATGACATGGGCATCAACAGTACGCCGGTACCCCATTGAACCTGTACGACATAGGTACCGTAGGTACCTACATGTCAAAATTGGGTAATACGGTAAACCGACTCGATAACCGCTCTGGGAGAGCTACAGGTATACAGAATATGGGTAGTAAAAGGGGCTGGGCCCTGGGTTAGCATTTCACTGTGCATGCGAATTTCATGGTACCAACTCGGATATCCGGTGGGTACTCCCTTATAATTGCGGTACTCGAGAGTCACTGCACGATTGCAGAGTCCAGACCGTACTAAGGCGGACCGACGGTACCTACTCGCGAGTCGGCAAGCCTTAGCACAGTACATACCACTTTCCGATCAGGCGTCAACCGGGCGGGTTTGGCCACGGCCCACTTCATCCTCTCCCCAAAGCTATATGGAGGAGGGGCTTTGTGTAATTTTCATGGGGCGCCTTCAACATGGAGGACCTTTTCAAAAGCCGCATGAACAACCACTTCTGGGGGTATACTTTTAATGGCGCTTTGTGTTTATGCTCAGAACACCCCATACAGAATGCGTGTAAATTTCCACAGGTGTATATCTCTTTAAAAGATTTCTGGCGTGACGTCAAGTTGGTACTTCATCAGGTGAATCCCTATATTACCCCGAGATATCCGGGGATCCTCTAAATATTGCTCGTTCCGACCCCCGGCGACCCTAGGACGCAACCGAGGGATCCCCGTGAGATTTTGGAAGTACTCAGGGGGTGTACGGGTTAATCCCGGGTCCGTCGTGCAACCGATCGACGGTATGTCCGAATACACGACGCTCTAATTAAGCATCGTAGCTACCTCGTGCCCTTCCACTAGGTTTAGCAGCCAACTAGGCTCTTCTAGCCTCATTCTCACACTAGTAGGCTCCTTGAGCCTAGCTGGCAGTCACTCAATCGTAGTCTTTGATACTTTGATTTACGTCTTTACACTGACGGCGATCTCTCAGTCGCCTAACCTTCAAACTGCCTAATCTAAACGCCTAACCGCCGCACACGCACGCCTGCGCTCACGCATTTAAATCCTATGGCTGGAAAAGATGTTGTGGTATATGAGCATTGCATCATTGAGCAGCAAATTTGAAAGCTGATTTTGCTAAGAGTCGAACTGCTTAGCAAGTGCAGAGCCTCTCAAGGCTCGTGCATATGGATGTGTGCGGGTGACGTAAAAGGGAAACGTAGGTACTTGTTTTCTTGACGGCTATAGCAAGCTTTGGTGGTGCAACCGATGAAGCAAATGAGCGGCATCATGGGGGTCACAGAGAGCGTGGTTTTTTGCTTTAATTTGCAGCCAGAGACGAAGTGAAGGCGATGCAAACAGATTGAATTAAAGAGTACTTTTAGCAAAGGAAAGGACAGCCTTCGTCGTGAGAAGAGGGACGGTGCAGCGGACCCTGGCAAGGCAGAGTTCCAAACATTCTGGTTTGGCGGAACGTTTGAACCTGACGCTCGAAAGAAAAGCAAGGATTGTTCACATACAAATCAGGGTCTAATCACCCTCACACATCAGCGCCTTCACAAAGGAGCGCCTTTCCTTCGTCAAGCATCTCTTACCACGGTCATCCATCACATCAAAACGGTACAAGTTCCTCTAACCGTAGCGAAATGTTTCCACCGCTTGGCCGGATCTACTTTACCATCCACTGATTGACTTAAGTAAATAACTCCTTTCCATAAACCGGTTGGTCTACCGTTTACAACACGAGTCAATTCGGCCTTGTGAACGGAGCACCATACTACTAGGGGTCGGAAGTGACATACCATTATGAAGATCATACTACTCAAGTGAGCTCAAATTCGAACGATTGACACGCAATCCGACGGTTGATACGTAATGACACAGATTCGTAATCTACGATCGATATGTGACGATGCAAATCACGATCCTACGGTCAATATTACATCAGGAAACTCCCAATTTTAACGTCTCAAATCTGTCGAGCTTGGCTGAGTTTGGCCGTCGGTCAATTCTGATTGTCAACACGAATTCGCTAGAGGATGCTGAGTTGGAGCCGATGTTGTGGGCGGAAGCAATGGTTGCCGCTAAATACAATCGAAACCGGGTTCCCTCGAGCGTGCACGGCAAGATCCCATGGAAGATGTTCTACATAGAGTAGCCAAACCTCAGCTACTTGTGGGCACGGGGTGGCAACTCAGGTTTAAAACTTGCCGTGTTCTACTTTTAGAAACGGTATAAAATGAAAAGCGCTAAAGTTTTACACGTAACCAACCGATAAAGCTCGTCAAGAGGCGCCTAAAACACCCCTTATTTTAATAAACGTTTTATAACCATTTTGAAGCGGGCGAATCAAGCAAAACGGGGTGTTTTACTCCGACATGACATGTTTAAAAACGGTAGTTGCCACCCCGTACTTGCGGGTTTTTGGAGCATGGGCCTACATCCACGTCTTGAAACAATCCACTCGTGCTTGTCACAAGCTAGGGTCTAGCCACCTCGGAAATAAGCGTCTTCGCAAAGAAGCTCTTTTTCCTTCTAAGCATAGCTTATATTGAATGACATCACATCACATCACATCACATCACATCACATCACAATCGTCCAAGTCACTCCAAAGTCGTAGCTAAATGTACTCTTGCCTGGTAGCCTAGCTCGGATTTACTTCCACCATCCACCAGTTGGTTCAACTATATGGAATCTTTTCTATCAACTGGTCACTCTATCACTCACGATACGACCTTTATTCCACTCGGACCGTGGCACTTTACTACTAGTAATCGGTAGTACCGTATGACTAGTGGTCGGGGTACTATACTACCTGGGTCAACTTATATTTTACGATCGAGAGTCCGAGTCAACACGCAATTCGACGGTCGACACTTAACGACAACACAAACCTCTGATTGTATGGTCAATATCACACGACACAAACCACGATCCTACGGTCGATATTACACGGCACAACTCACGACCCTACGGCTCAAATTTATCGAGCTCAATCAACTATTTGGCCGTCAACCAACACCGAATCTCAACACTCCCAAGCGGACAAATTGTAATTGTTTGTCGCCCTGTCCAACGCCATCACCGGCTTCGGCTCCTTCAAAGCTATCTCCACCCCTGCTCAACGCCTTCCACTAGAGTACCCACGGCTTCCGCTGCGGCTCCCACAGCTTCCATTGCGCCGTGCTCTGCCGTCTCCGTCGGGGTCTCCTTGTCCACCGGGTGGGCCTCTTCCTCCTCGTTGTCCGAGTCAAGGGCCACCCCAATGTACTTGACGGGCTTCACCTCCTCTCGCTTGTTTACCACTTGAGGCTTCTTTACCGCCATTTCGATCCGACGCTCCACTCGGCCGGCCCCTTGACCGCCAAAAATGCTCGTCTTCTTCACCGTTGCAATCTCCCACAACCCGCCGTGCTGTACCGCCTCCGTTCTCACCACGCCTTCCGTCTCGAACCGATCAATTCCCTTTTCAAGGGAAACCCTTGGACCCGCCTTTGTTGCTCTAAGCATACCAAACAAGTTCGCTATTGCTCCCGGAACGTGCCAAACCTCGTTCAAAGTTACCGTGCTTGCACCGTTCGGCATTCACACACGGCTGTCCCGGTTTCCACGGCCGTCAAGGCCTGTTTCCCAAGCCTTTGATCCTCTCGGTACGTGCAAGCGTCTCGTAGCTTGCGAATTGGCTCTTCTTCGCCGTGATGTGTAAGATGAGGAGAGGAGTGCTCGTGGCCCTAGTCGTCTGAGCCCCCCCGATTCGGATTGGTGTAGGAGCTACACGGGGGACTCCCGACACTCGGCCCGGGGTAGAGGCTACTATTGAAACTCATGGTGGGGGGTCGTAGTGTAGTTGAGTTACTCGTCATCGGGTTTTATTGTGTTGCCCGGCACCCATGCTCATCTCTCATTGACGGCATCCATGCATCCTAAGAACACACGAAACGCCTCACAAGCGGCTTCCTTCTCCACACACTCTTTTAGAATGATGTATCACATCAGTGGTTTCCACCACTATATGTCTTAAGGGTCTCTCCCGTTCCACTAGGCTCACTAGAGTACTAGGCTCACAGAGTACTACGTCACAAACTACTAGGCTCACTAGCCTTGCTCACAATCACAGTCAATCTTAGCCTTCGATATCCTCATCTACGGCAAACACTGACGGCCGCTCTCAACCGCCTAACCTCCAAACCGCCTAACCGTTTAACCGTCTTACCGCCGTACACGCACGCCGGCGCTCATTGGTCCAAACCCGAATTCGGGCCGAACCCTAACACATAGTAATTCGGCTGACTATATCACCGAATTCTAACACTCCCACTCAGACGGATTACTCTAAGCCCTAAGTCATCCCGCTCCTCTTGCGGACTGTCTTTTTCGCCTTTGGTGTCACCCACACGCCTCCACTCTCGCCACCTCCGCTCTCTTGGTAGCGCACTGCGTCGCTCATCTCCAACGACGTTTGCTCCACTCCGTGCTCCAAATCTTTGGCTCCCACGTTTTCCGTTGCTGCTCCAACATTTGCCCGATACCACTCGGCGGGCCCCCGTTGCACTGTCGTTTGATATCTTCCCAACTCTTGGGACTCCACCACAGGCTTCTCCACACTAGCGGGCTTGCTCTGTACTGCCGTCTCTGGGCTCGTCTTGCCCTTTGTAATCTCCTCGGACACCTCCACAAGTTCGCAAACAACTTCCACAATCGGCCCACATTGGCCCCTTCTTTATCTATGCGCGTGGCGCGGCCGCAGACCGTCGAGAGCGCGTGCGCGACTCCTTCGCGCATCACTCAAGCTCCTTTTCGACCATTTTTGAACATGTGCGCGGCCCTTCGTCCGCCCCCATGAAAGTTCCCCACTCTCGTTCAACGCCCCTATTCTCGTCGTCCGACTCGTCTAGGTCGATCTCCACGACCTTCACCGTCTTTTTCACCACGCTTTTCGCTCTTACCGGCCTCTTTGCTGTGGCGTACACCCTGTTCCTCTTGATTTGACCCCTCGCAAGAAATGCCCTCTGCTTCCCCACGGTCCCAATCTCCCACAGTCCTCCACGCTTCCATGCGGACCACATTGTCCGTCTCGATTTACGCGGTTCTCACCTCCAGCACCACTCGTGCTCTAGCGACAGTTGCTTCAATTAGCGAGAACAGACTCGCCTGTGCCCTCAGAGGATGCCCGACTTCCCTCAAGGTTACCATACTCACACCGCTCGGGGTCTTAAACTTAAGTTCACTTCTCTCATGCCTACCGCAATCAGAGACTCACCACAGTTCCCCACAATCTTCTCGTTCCGCACAAGCTCACAGCTCGTCAACTGGCTGCGATCGGCCATTGACATCCTGGGTGCTGCCCAAATCCACACCCCTTTGCGCACATCCCCGTCTTCGCCCCACACCGTAAAGGCTACTCCGTAGGCATCCCCCGCAAACTCTTTCTCCTCTGTGCGGCCACTTGGCGCGCGCTCTGCCTACACACTGCCTCTGTGTGGCCCCTCTTGCGGCACTTGCGATACTCGGCATCGCGCATCCTGCACTTTGTCTTCATGTCGCCCACTTTGCCACAACAATAGCGGGTTGGCGGGTTTGAGCTCCCGCCTCTCACCTTCGAGCTTCTCTCCAGCTCGTTGGAGCTTCCCCAGCCCTTCTATGAGCTCGAGTAGCCCCTATGTATGGCGGCATATGCCACCGCTCCATCTCCACCCGAAGTTCCCTCCAAGGACCCCGCTTCAGCCCTCAACTTTAGCTTTTGCTCTCTTTGCATTAGCTTTGGCTGGATCACATCTAGGGTTAGCTCCTCTTCTTCGAGCTCCAAACTTCCACAGGAGTGGCATACTCCACTGCCAAAACTTCCAAGGCGTGCACGGCCAGCTCACCACCTTAAAGGGTTTGCCCCGCCGCCTTTGAATCTATTTTGAGCTCCCGGCATTGCTATGATACTCTGCAATGGCTTTCCTCTTGGTCAACCTTAGACCCGTCAGCTTCCTCCTGAGCTGAATCATGCGCGCTTTGCTCCTCTTCTCAAAAATGTCCACCAAATTCTTCCACGCTTTTGCTGCAGTGGATCACCCTCACTTAACTTCACATATGCATCTTCCGTGTGAATCAGCTTGCTTGGCTTGACACTTTCCTTTCTTCCAAGGACTTTGGCTCCTCTAATGCACACAGCCATCCCTTGTATGCAAGAAGTCCACGGAAATTGGCCTTCCACGTTGAGCAATCGCACCACACAATTGCGGATCGACACTTTCTCACCCCCCATGTCAACTACACTCTCCCTCGAACACAAAGAAGCCAAATCCTCCGCTCCATTTTCCTCACATGTTCACCGTCACCGGCGCGAGCATTAAATCTCTGGCCCTCCAGACAGCGAAAATTGAATCTGTGCGCCCTCCTCACAAACAAGCGTGGTGGGCCCATAACCTATTGAGATCCATGGTAGGGAGTCGTAGTGTAATTGAGGTACTCGTCATCGGGTTTTATCGTGTTGGACGGCACCCATGCTCGACACTCCACTCATTGATGGCATCCATACATCCCGAGGAACACACGAAGCGCCTCACAAGCGGCTTCCTTTCCTCCACAAATTTCTCTTAGAATGATGTATCACAATAGTGTTCTTCACCACTATTGTCTCACGGGTGTCTCCCGTTCCACTAGGCTCACGAGCCTACTAGGCTCACTAGCCTTAGTCACACTCTACTAGGCTCACTAGCCTAGCTCACAGTCACACTCAATCTTTGCCATCGTTTTACTCATCTACGGCTTACACTAACGGCCGCTCTCAACCGTTTACCCTTCAAACCGCCTAATAATTTTAGCGTCTAACCGTTGTACACGCACGTTGGCGCTCACTAGTTCAAACCCTACACGGATCAAACCCTAAATTGCATAGTAACTCGGCTGACCATAATCACCAAATTTCAACACTCCACCAAAGCCCGATGTTACTCTGCGGGCTCACGTCTCACTCTGGCCGGGTATCTCGACCCTTCTGGGACTCCATAGGCTTACCAGCCTCTTGGCGCTTCACATCCGAAATATCAACTTCCAGAACCACTCTCGGATCGCTTGCGCCGAACTCATCCACTCCCCAGGGCCAATTTCCGATACGTGCCCTGTTGAAATCATTCACTCATGCTTGTCACAAGCCTAAGGGTCCAACCACCCTCAAACATAAGCGCCTTCACAAAGAGGCGCCTTCCTCTCTTCAAGCATCTCTAATAGGATTGAATATCCATCACATCACAATAGTCCAAGTCACTCCGATCCCGTAGCTAGATGTACTCTAGCCTAGGTCGGGTCTACTTCCACCACCCACTAGTCGGTTCAACTATATGGACTCCTTTCCAGCAACCGATCACTCTACTACTCACAATACGGCCTATATTCCAATCGGACTTGTGACCGGGGCACTATACTACTAATGGTCGGTAGTACCGTACTACTAGTGGTCGGGTTACTGTACTACTCGAGTCCACTCACATCTAACAATCCAAAATCCGAGTCAACACGCAATCGGACGGTCGATACTCAACGACACAAACTTCCAATTCTACCGTCGATGTTACACGCGACAAACCCCCGACAAACCACAACCCTACGGTCGATATCACACGACAAAACTCACGATCCTACGGCTCAAATCTATCGAGCCTACCTCAACAATTTGGCCGTCAATCAACTCCGTTTCTCAACATGCCCATGCACGTTCTTCATCGAATTCTGCGAGTCAATACTTTGTTAGATTTGGGCGCTACTACCTTTGAGTACGCCCCAATATCTTATGATATATAGTCCATAGAATCGTAAATTTGATGCCTAAGGTTGGTTGTACGATTGTGAGCTTGCACGATTGAATATCCATCGTGGGTTTTGCGAATCGTAAGCCGTAAAATTTAGTCCATTTTGCATGGGTTCTTTTGTGATGTTTGTTTCGAATAGCCGTTCGATAGGTTGTTTTCTAGGCAACGTCGATTAGGGACCGTCGATTTTTCGATTGAAACACCTAGGGTGATAGCTAGGCTTGAGCTAGGCTATAAACCTGGACTCATATATCAAAAGAACCACACTCATTCCTAGTGCACTTGAAAGGCGCTTGCTTTCAACAGGTTATGGGCCCACGACGCTGAGGAGTGAGGGGAGAACAGTGCGCCGTTGCCAGCAACAACAATTCTAGGTTGGTGCGAAAGATTCCGGTGGGGGCTAGAGGAGTAGAGTAGCACTCCATCTTGCGATGCCTGTGACAATACCCCCAAACCACTTTCGGCCTAAAGGAGTGCCCAACTCAAGGAGCATTGTTTTTGCTAGCGGTAACCATGGCTGAAGGACTCGAGGTTTATATAGAGCTTTTAGATGTTGACGACTATACGGTGTGGTCACAGAGAATGCTGCAACTTCTCTTGACACAAAATAAGTTGTGAAAAGGGGTTACGAACCCGGCCGGTGAGGCAGAGAGGACCGTGGAAGCAAAAGCTTTGATAGGTTTGCACGTTCGGCAACAATACCTTGGGGCAATCTTAGACGCTGAGAATGCCAAGGTAGCGTGGAACGCGCTGGAAAAGACCTACTTGAGAGCAACACTGCGGCTTGGAAGTTGCAACTCCGTTATGAGTTGAGCACCCGCAAGATGCAACCCACCTACCGCAGACCTAGGCTCTAGCATTAGACTGCGGCTCTAGTTTCGTTGCCCGTCACCCTTGGTAGGCGGGTTCTTGCACTCCCAAGTTGCTCACAGCTGAGGCACTTGTGCTCCTTGATATAGCTGCAGATAGGATAGATGTTCTAGATTGAACACTCCAACACTTGGAAGAGCTTATAGGCAAGCCGTTCCTAAATGGAGTGTTGCGTTCTAAGGATTCCCTCTCCACTGATCTGGATGCTCACGCGATTTGGATGCCGGTTTTGGCAAGGGCCTCTCTTGGCTTGATTGCAAAAGTGCAAGCGAACTAAGACAAAATTTGCCGGCTTGTATGGATGCGAGGTTGGAATCCTCTGATGGGATGTCGGCATGTGCGTTGATACCGGGATTCTATAAAGCTATTACGACTTTGTAAGGGCTAGAAACGCATCCTCGTCTTACCCTGGGGTTCTTAGGTTCCGTTTGTAACCGAATTATAGTCCACCGTTGGTCCTTGTAAATACGCAATGAGCCTGAGTGTCTTGTACCTTCCGCCCCGTTTTCAAATAGGAGAGAGTCGGGTCAAGGCGCCGACGTCTGCTTTTGATAGAGAGGTAAGGGACCCGACTTTAGCCGCTTCTAGGTTCTAAGTTGACGATGTGCTTTGAGGCTCAAATTGCTGGATCCTCTGGACACGTCTTGTTTGATAGTGGCGCCTTTGAGAATTTTGTGTCGGCGGCCTTTGCGAGCTTACACGGGGTGGTGATTTCAAAGGGCCCCAGGACTGTCAAACCGAGAAATAAGTCGGTTGCTAGATACTTGGGAAGTGGCAAGTTGTACCTTAAACCCGGCGCTTTTCATCAACCCGTCTCTTGCTTGCTCTTGCCTGAGCTGTTATACGGTGTTGACCTGATTGTGGGCCAAGGTTTATGACCAAGAATTGTGTCGACTTGCTGTAAGTCCGAGCAGACTTGCCTCATTGAAAAGGGGCAGTGTCAGCTTATCGTTCGAAAGCAGACTATTTACAGAGACCCGCCTTTAGCCAACAGCAAGCCGGACGCTCTCCTTAGCGCCCTTCAGGTAAAGCGCCTAATGCGAAAGGGTAACACGGCTTTCCTTGCAGTTGAGATCAAAGTGGAGGATCCACTACGCCCAGACCCAGGCGACGATTGGGTAAGTCAAATGACTGAAAAGTATTCTGACGTCCTTGCTGACCCTCTGCCGCCTGGCCTACCAACCTACGCAACACCGGCCACTTGTTGAAAGTAAGCGCCTTTCAAGTAAGCACAACCACTAGGAATGAGAGCACACAACGTGATATTGTTCAAGGTCATAGCTAGGCCTCCAAATTAGCTAGCCTACCACGGGTTCCGACCCTACCTACTAATCCACGGCCTCTATGAGTCGAGGTTCCGATCCACGGTTCACCGGAATTGTCCACTCCTAATAAAGAAC